TCTGACATCCATTTTGACCTTTTCCTCCTTTCTTGTCTTCTTAATGACTTTTCACTCTCTTCATGTATGATGTTCTTGAAAGGTGGGTATGGAGTGCAAATAGGAACCACAGGGAGGAAACAGGATAACTTGTTGCATGGTAAGGATTGTAAACATGGAAATGAAATAAAGTACATGATTCTTTGAATATAAAGCTGATGAGTTTGTCTGTAAACCTTCACTCAATTCACAATACAAAGTTAAAATAAGTAAGTTAACTAAGTCAGGAATATGCGTAAACTCTGGCAAATAGACAAATATCAATTATCTGCTCCAAGCAAATTGCTCTGTAACAACCTGCTGGATTCACATCCTCAAGTGTTGTTTGGGTTCAGAGTGATGGCTTACAACTCCTCCATCCATCTTTTCTCTGCACTTTGCCTGGTAGGGGCAGTTTCTACAAGTGTCCTCATATTACCATAGAAGACGCACAAAGCATGTTGGTGTTAAGTGCTGTCGAGTCGATTCCAACTCATAGCACCCCTGTATAGGGGTTCCAAGGAGCAGCTAGTGGATTTGAACCACTGACCTTGTGGTTCAAAGTGACCTGGAGTCCAGTGTTTATCCTACCGTGCCACATCAGAATCTATAGTCCTCCTAGATTATTAGTTCTCAAACTTCAGTGAGCACTCTGGAAGCTTGGTAAAATGCAAGAACCCTGGGTCCCACGGAGAGATCAGCTTCATCTAGACTAAGACCTGGGAAACCACTGGTTCTGATGTTGGAGGTCCTCCACTTGACACTTGTTAGATAATAGTCCAGATCATGGAGAAAAATCTTGGCTGGGTTTTGTCCCCGGCCCTATCCCTTTAGCCTTTGAGCAGGACATCTCCTACCCTCTGGGGCCACCACCAAAATGGTAACACCAAGATCGTCCTAAATGAGTGGTGTTGAAACAATATGGGTACAGATAGAATGGTGGTACAAAGTGAAGTATGGAGCCAATGTGACACAACTGTTGGTGTTGAAGTTGTGAATGGATGGATGTTTGATTGTGTGCATCGCCACCAAGATAATATCTTTTTTTTTTTTTTAAAGTCTTCCTGTCAGTGACCCTAAACTAGAGGAAGGTGACAGACAACTCAGGCCGAGCAGCTATTCTGCCGAGTCATCCATAAGAGCTGGGAGAGGAGGGACAGGAACCCAGCCCCTTCCCACTCCACTCCCCTCACCTAGGACCTTGCAGGGGTGAGGCGCAGCTCCACCTCCCTCACTGCTGTAGGCCCATCCTTTTCTAGAAGACGCCTAAAGCTCCAGCCTCAGTTCAATCTAAACTGGGATTCTCGATTCTCTTTGCTCATCGAGTCCACCACCTTGATACCCCTGCAACCCTCATTGAGAACGCCAGTGCTTGACATGGAATCGTCTCCATGGCAACCGATGGTGCCACAGACACAGGATTATGACTTCACTAGCGTGGGGATTCCAGAGAAGGGGATGGGGGCGGCGCAACCTGAGCCCCTGACCCACACCCAGACTAGGGGGACGAGGGACTCTTCCTTCCCGCTGCCCAGGCCACAGGCCGCCCAGTCTGATCTCTTGCTCCTAGCTGCCACAAAGATGTTAAGGAGGTGGGGGATGCATATTTATACAGGGCCCCAACTCTTACGGGTGTTGGGGGTGGTGGGCTCGCAAACGCAGCACGCTTAACCCGCAGCGATGGAAATCAATCACGCGCGGGCCTCGCGGGGCGGGCCGGCTAGGAGGGGGGTGGGGAGACGACGGGGGCGGGGAGCGGGCGGTCCCCGCGAGGGGCCTAAGTCCCACCTCCCGAGGCGGCGTCTGGCGCGGAGAGTGTCAGGAAGAGGAAGAGCGCGGCCAGAGGCGGTGCGCGGCGCGCGGCGCGCGGCGAGCAGAAGCAGGACAGAGGGAGCGCCGCGCGGGCCACCATGGCCTCGGACGAGCTGGCCACCAAGCTGAGCCGGCGGCTGCAGCTGGAGGACGAGGGCGACAGTGAAGCGGTGGAGCAGCCCGGCCTGAACGGGGCTGCTGCGGCGGCGGGGGCGCCCGATGAGGCGGCGGAGGCGCTGGGCAGCGCGGACGGCGAGCTGAGCGCCAAGCTGCTGCGACGCGCTGACCTCAACCAGGGCATCGGCGAGCCCCAGTCGCCCAGCCGTCGCATCTTCAACCCTTACACCGAGTTCAAGGAGTTCTCCAGGAAGCAGATCAAGGACATGGAGAAGATGTTCAAGCAGTGAGTGCTCTGGCCACCCGGCCTTCCCACCCTCCCGCCACCCGGCCTCGGGCTCCGAGCCCGGATCCCACACTGCCTCGTCACGTCAGGGATGGTGATCCCGCGGCCACTTCCAAATTATCACGAGGCTGCGTGATCAACCACTCCATCACGTATATGGTATTGGGTACCCCGACCTCTCACCACCCTCTTAGTGACGCTGGTCCCCAGGATACCACTCGTGCCACAAGAAGTGGGGAACCCCGCGGCTCCATCCAGATAATCATGAGCCCCTGTGAGACCCTCCACAACATACTTGGGTCTGGGGACCCCTACTCTCTGACCTGGGTCACCACTCCTGCCCTGTTAATAACATTTCCCCCACGACCGCACACCCCCCTTTTATCCTTTAGCTACTCTGGGGTTCCTCACTCACCACCCCCAAAACAAGCTGGTTCCTCATCAGAGACGCTTCAGCTCTTCCACTCTTATCCCCACCCTCCCTGTTAGCCAAGACGTGATCTTGGAGCCTTGTTCCTCTAGCCACCTGATAGGATCTGCCACACCCTCCCTCAATGCCTGTCCCCCACCCTGCAGGTATGTGCACACCTCCATCCTACAGCCATCCCCCAGGGATTAGAACCCTTCCCTCCACACACTGTTCTCCCTGCCCCTCTTTCTCCTACCGCCCCCCCATAACAGCTTTGCAGTCACTTTTTTGCTTCTTCTTTCCCACTGTGTGCCCCCTGACTCCCAAAGGAGCCCTGAGGCTCCCCACACACTTCTGTCAGAAAGGGGGTCTCTTCCTACTTGACTTGTCCATTTGTTCTTATCCCTATCCTTATTCCATACACTGTGACCCACCCCAAGTTAGACAGCCATACTCTTATAGGCTCAGCGCCTCACACCCCCCAACCTATCTGTAATTCCCCATCTGGTTCATCCCAGGTTCTCCCCACCTCACCCCATAGTGGCTGATCTGGTCAGCCACACCCTCCCCCCCACCCCCACTACCACATACACACTTTGGTACCCTTCCTCACCTCCTGCTACACACCTCTTGTCCCTAGCTCTGGAGGGAAACAGCCCAAGAGGCTGGTGGTCTAGAGTGGATCCAGACATGGCAAGCCTTGGATTGGGTAGTCGGCAGGTCAGGCAGCCTAAGGCTGAGAGAGGGGTACTCAGAAGGCTGTGTCCACCTTGAGCTGGGCAGGAGACTGGGGGCAGGGGGGACTGTCACCACAGGCACACACAGCAGACAGTGCCCAGACATCTAACAGGCAGCCCAGGAAGGGGGCGTTTTGCAAGGCCACAGCTTGAGAAAGGCCGTTTCCCACCTCTCACTACTTGCTGCAACTGTAGCTTCTGCATTTAGTCCCGCAGGGAGGAGGAAGAGGTTTTTGGTTCCCAGCCCTGGGAGGGTGGCTGGGAGCCCTATATATATTTTTTTTTTTTTTTTTTTTTTTTTTTTTCCCCCTCAAGGGTCAGGCTGGAAGGAAACCAAGTCCTTGACCACATTCCAAGTCTCTGGGTGTAAGTCGCCGGGCTCAGAGGAGCCTGCTCCTGACTCCAGGGCCTGGGTTGAAAGTCCAAACTAACATTTCTTCTCAGCCTCACACTGGTGAAGTGAGGAGAGCTAGATTCCCAAGATTCCTGGAGGAACAGATCTAGGTTTTACTGGGTGTGGCTTCCGTGTAGAGCTTGGTCCCCCAAGGGGAATTCAAGGGAAATTACTCAAATGCAGCCTTACAGTAATAATAGTAAGGTATTCATAGTTCTGAGAGGCGCTTGGTATCTCATCTAACCCTCCCAGCAGCCCGATGATGTGGACTGATTACCATCACCATTATGCAGATTAGGTGTCTAAGGCACAGGCAAGTTCAGTAACTTGCCAAGGCCACATAGCTAAGAAATGATGGAGCTGGGATTTGAACCCAGGCCTGTGACTGCAAAACTTTCTATAGCAACTCTGGGTTTCCCGTCACAAATGTCTGCTACGTTGTGGGAGCACATTCCTCCGAAACCTCCCTTCTTCGTTCTTGCCTAATTTCTTACCTTGCAGCCTCACTGCCAGCCCCAGTTCCTTTCCCTCCCCAGGGGCCTCCTTCTATTAGGCGGCTACGCTATCCCAAAAACCTCCCCCAAACAAAAGGTAAAGCTACTGGGGAGACACCCAGACACCTAAATGAGGTGGTGGTGATGGTATGCCATGAAGTCAGTTCCGACTCGTCGTGACCCTGCATAGGGTTTCTGAGGCTGTAAGTCTTCATGGGAGCAGAAAGCCTCACCTTTCTACCGTGGAACTGCTGGTAGTTTCGAACTGCTGACCCTGAGGTTAGCGGACCGACTCATAACCGCTACACTACCAGAGCTCCTTCAAATGAGCCAGGGACCGTAGAAAGCAGCAATTTAGTTGTTGTTAAGCTCTGTTGAGTTGGTTCTGACCCATAACAACCCTGTAATCAGGTTCCCTAGGAGAGACTGGTGAGTGTGAACCGCTGACTTTGCGGTCCAACACTTTATCCCACAGTGCCTTTGGTTAGAGGGGGAGGGGGAGTATGTGACTAAGAAATGTCTTGAAGCTGCATTTGCAAAGACAGCTCACTTTTTAAAGACTGTTTTTGGAGTTAGTTTGATGGTTTGGGGTGTTAGTTTATGGAGGAGGTACTTTGATGGGGACTTGGGGATGCTGAGCCCCCTTGGTTCTTCTGCTTGCTGAAGCTCTAGGAGGGTCAGGGGCTGGGATCTCTGGAGAAGGAAGGAAATACCACTGCTCACTGCCCTGTTGAGAGTGGAGAGCTGCACATCTTGTATTCAAGGAAACAAGGCTCTACTGTGCCAGCCGAGCCTGGCCCAGCTTATTAACAGCCAGCAGTCGGGCTCTTGTGGAGGACAAAACCCCCGTTCTGCTTCCGCTGTCCAAGTGGGGCTGTAACCTCCTGCATCCCAGCAGGGCCTGGGGATTGTAGCCAGACATCATTGGAGACTGGTTCTGCTGAGAAACTCCCACTCTGTCCCCAGCTCCCTGGCAGGAAGGAGAGGAGTCTGGCCTTACTGAAAAGCACCCACCAGAAACAGAGGAGGCTGCGGAGCTCGGAAGACTGAGCTTCCATCTTTTCTCTGCCTTGGAACTGTCTCGTGGCAGGAGGAGGCTGCTTGCCCTCCATAACCAGCCGTTGTTGAGTCCATTCTGACTCCTGGCAACTTCATATATGTGTCAGAGTAGAATTGTACTCCATAGGGTTTTCACTAGCTGCTTTTTTAGAAGTCGATTGCCAGTCCTTTCTTCTGAGGAACCTCTGTGTAGACTCAACCCGAGTGCATTAACCAGGACTCTGTAAAAGGAGCAGCTTGATCTTGTGATTCCCAGGGGCCCTTGGGCTCTGACATTTTTTTATTCCTGAGAGGTCCTGAGCCCTTCTGGATGGCAAAACTGCCTTCCAGAGATTTCTAGTTCATCCATTCAGTGTTGGTTCAGCTGATTTTTTCTGAGCACAGGGACACAGGATACCCACAGGAGACAAGCTATCTGCTATCACTGAACTCATTCTTACAAATACACAGTTTCCAGCTAGAAGAGAGACCTTGAGGGCTGATGCCAACCCCTCTCCTCATTTTACAGAAGAGGTAACTGGTGCCCAGAATGGAGTCGTGACTTGCACAAAATCATGGGGAGGTTTGCAGTGACCAAACCAGATCATCCGTGTCTGTACGATGGACTAGTGGTACCCACTTCTCAGGGTGAGGTCCAGAGGAGATGGCCGGATGCTTGGTACAAGGATATTCTATGTCACTGTTACCTGGACTTTCAGCCAATGGCTCCTCTTGGTGTGGGGCCCTTCTTTCTCCTTGTGGATGGCCTTCCAGGGCTAGCTCTTCAATCATCCACATCCAGGAAAAAGCCGGAGGGTTGGAATGGATCCTGAAAGCCTTGAAGGAACTCAGTCCTGGACTGGCAGCAGTCAGGGAGGGGCTCTGGGGGATTTTGTAAGCTGAGACCTGCTAAAAAGGTAGACATCCACACCATTGGGGACCTGCCTTGGGATCCGAGGAAGATGCCCTAGTTCCCTGACTTGCCTAGCCTTGTCAGCCCGGTCCCCAGTCTCTTCTCCAGCCATTTCATCTCATGACCCTTTGCATCAGTGAAGCAGGCTGGTCTTTCCTTCTGGATGGTTCTTCCCTTCCCAAGGTCCCTGCCCTCCCCTGCACCCAGGGACTTTATTACTTCTGCACCTCTCCCCAGGGAGCCCTTGCTGTGAGTTAGTGTCAAGAGCAGGACCTTTGGAATCTGCAGCCCTGAGTTTGAATCCCAGCTGTGAATCTGTGAGCAAGGCGCTTAGACCTCACCCATAATCCTAGTACCCACTTCGCAGGGCCATTATAAAGTGCTTATCCCAGTGCCTGGCACTTAGAAAGTGTTTACAAATGATTGTCATCATCATTCCCAGCTCAAGACCACTTTATATACCTCGTAGACCCTAGTAGGACCTTGGTGGTGGTAGTCGCAGTTGGCATGCAGGTAACTACCCAGCTACCTCAACTTATCTCCCATGGAGCTCCTGGGCCTGCCCAGGTGCCAACAGCCTCATTGCTTTGGGCTGCCATGACGGGGTAACGGGGACATAGCATAAGACCCCTCCTTTTTTCCTACTAAACAGAAGCTCGGATTGACAGCTACCTATGACTTTATAGGAGTCCTGGTGGGGCGCTGTAGCATAAACACTAGATCACAAGGTTACTTTGAAGCATAAGGTCAGTGGTTCAAACCCACCAGCTGCTCCTTGGAAACCCTATACAAGGTCACTATGAGTCGGAACAAACTGCTGAGCGAACAGTGACCCCAGTCAGAATACTCAGCTCCTTAGAACCTCCTTTACCCCCTGGAGCTAAGGGACCTTCCTGGTAGAGTTCTGAGGATTAAATGGGGAAAGTTCTGAGCCTTTTTCCAGGGCCCCTCATTGTTGTTGTTGTTGTTGTTAAGTGCCGTCGAGTTGGTACCAACCCATGGCAACCCTGTGTAG